TTGAAAACTTGTTTTTAATTCATAGTGGTTGACTTGAGCTTTGCTTTCAAACATCACTGGTTTTGGTCGTTTGAACATTGTGGCCATCATCAGCGTCATCATCATAGCTGACTGGATGGCTGGCTGGCTGGTTGGTTGGTTGGATGGCCAGACCAACTTTAGTTTGAAACATAAAGCCGCGATAAAGCTTTTTAAGTTAAGAAGCCTTATACCCCATAGATATACATACATACATACATACATACCTACATGTGTGAACTAATGCCTGGCTTGATAATGATGTTAAAAGCAAAATATTACATACATACATACAAACACACATGGACAAAGAATCTAAGTGTATTACCATAACATGAAATGCTTAAGTAATGGCCATTCTTGTTGTTGTTGTTCTTGTTGGAACTTTGTTGTAAACTTCAAATGATAATTAGTTTTTAGCTAAGGGAGTCGGTATTCTTTTTTTCCAATAAATATGAAAAAATGTTTGCGAAGCCGAAAAAAATACTTCACTTAATGTATTGCACCGAGGAAGCGAGCGAGCGAAGGAAAAATTATCACTTAAAGTTCATTTTTTTGCCGTGCAAAGTGGAAAAAAAAGACCTAAAAATATATTTATCAATAAATTATGCTTTCCTGTTTAAGCATTTGTGTGCCATTTCCAAACCATGAGCTGCTGGGCCATCATCATCATCTTGCATCGATCCATCCATTGGGCCTGCTCCGGCGGTTTTTATCTCCCCGAAAAAAAGGAACATGTAAATTTACTTATGAAATGGTTCGGTCCGGTTTTTTTAGTTTGTTTTATTTATTTTTAGTTGGAGACTCTTCAATCTGCATACATACACACACACTCACACGTTCATTCACAATATTGATAACAAGCCATTGGCGGCCAAGAATCAAAACATAGTGTTGCACTTTAAACAATTTAGTATAAAAAACCAACAACAACAACAATATTTGGGGCCTAACTAATGCCTGCATTAAAAGAATGGTATCAGTTAGGCCACAACAAAAAAATACAGAGAGAGGAAAAAAAATTTAAAATAATTTATGCATAAAAATTAAAAAAAAAATAAATTCAATGGAAATCCGAAACTTTTTTTTCAGATATTATTATGTAAATTTTGTTATTTTAAAATCCATTAGATTTCAATATTTGGTTATTGTGATTTGTTTTTAGATGTTGTTGTCTTTTTTTCCTCTCTTTCTCAATCAGTTAGCTAGCCAGCCAGTCAGCCACTCATTTGCTTATTGGGCCTTCCCATTTTTCATTTGGATTTTAATGCAATTAACGATAAACATTTTAACAAAAAATAATGTGTCACCATTAATTAAGATATAAAATAGATATAATTAAATATTTATAAAACCAAACAATGACAACAAAAACAAGAATAGCTAATTCTGTCGACTGCATGGTTGAGTGCAATAAGAACATATGGGGTTTCCATTTGAAGTCATCTCATTTAGGCGATCAGAGCATTTAATTTTTTTTTTCAGTTATCAAACAATCTTTAACAATCCAATTAAAATGGAATTCAAAATCGTTATAAAATTAAAAAATTGATTTTTAAACATTAAACTGGGAAAAAAATGGAAGAAAAAAATATAGGTATGAAACAAAGGTCTTACAAGGCAACAGAAGTTGGGGAGAAAATTGATTTGCTGCAGTTCAAAAATTAAAAAAAAAAAAATTTTTCTGATAATAAATTTTCTGAAGATAAATAGACTGTTTTTCAAATTGTTTAAAAATCCTATAATTTTAATGTTAATGCATTTTATAAAAGACAATACAGGGTGAAATATAAAAAAAACTGCAACTAAGTCAAACGCCATAATTTTTAGATTTTTTTTTTAATTTCATTGAATGAAAGCAAAAAATTTCGAAAATAGCATCAAATTTTAGAATAAGTTTAGATTTGTTCGAATTGGTCACCTTTTGCTCGACTTGGGGCCTTCAAACGGCCAATAAAACCGTCACATGCTGCTCGAATGTTGCTCTGTGGTATTTTTTATATACATGCCCTGTATACCCCTCCCTTTTTCCCTCGTCTTTAATATCAACTGAGAAAGGAATCTTCAATTGCTCCATATATTTTAAATAATTTTATAAAAGGAAATAATTCTCATTGACTTTGTATTTTTTCACATTTTTTATTTTTCCCCTTCTCTATTCCTCCCCTCTTCTCCTCCTAATTCATGCTCCCGTGGAAACAAAAAATCTTCAAGTGAATTATTTTTCTCTTCTCCTCTGACCACAAAATGACATTATTCCTCGACTTGTGTCTTACAAAAGTGTATGCTGCCAAATATACATGAGTTCTTAATAAATCATGATAATTAAACAATTTGAAGACAAGTTCCAAACACTGTCATCCAAAAAAATAAAAACTTCAAAAAACTCAGCAACTGCATGCAGTACCAAGTAAACATAATTTTATTGTCATCAACAACATTAAAAACTATAAACAACGGCAGGGAAATACAAACGTCAGTGCTCAAAGAAAACCAACAACCATTATTCCGTCATGAGCAACTCGTGCAAATGGGACAACAACAACAGCATCATCATCACCACTTGGCAAAACAAAAAATCAATGCTGGTTAAACTCCACCTAAATATGCGCTTAAAACCCCACAATAAATGTCAACTCTTTTAAAGACAACTTGTCAAATAAGCACAAATCACTATGCGGCGGGGCGGAGAAACAGATATGAAAACTTCGAGACTTGGTTTGTTACCCCCCCCCCCCCCCCCCAACTCCATGACACCAAGTTTGGAGTTCAATATGTCTATATGAGTGTGTGTGTGTGCGTGTGGGTCTTGCCACACAAATAAAGCTAAAAATACCAATTCGCACTTACAAAGACAACACCTTCAACAATCAAACAAAATGTATTATTGCAATTCAATGTTGTACACCTCGAAAAGAAAAAAACTGATAGGTGGGGGGAGAGGGGAACCAAAAATAATACGATTTTAATACAACACCGAAAAAAACGGTCTGGCAAACTATAAAACTCATCAACGCCAACCACCATGAAGAAAACTTGAAGGATACACTACTCCTTGGCAAGCAAAATGCCAAGCAGCCAAGAAGTCAGCCATTCAAACGTGCTGCAACAAAATAATGTGGCACACAATTAAATTCAAAAAATGAGTTAACAGCCCAAGGAAGGCAGACAGTCAGCCAGCCAGTCAGCAAGTCAACCAACCAACCATCCAGAAGCTCTAAATGTGTACATTCATGAGCATACTCGATCTTTTAGCAATGAATGTTTTGTTTTTCGTGGTGTTTCATATGGTTGCTGTTGTTGCTGTTGTTGCAGTTTTGCCTTTTAAAACGCCCATATAAGGTTCATTTCGATTTATTTATCACCTGTCGTCCAAAATTGCAAATTTTCTGTTATAAACTCCAAAGTACACTTTTTGGTACAAAGCTGTAACACGGCAGCAGGAGCAGCAGTCGCAACTGCCATACTCCTCAACTCCCTTGGATGTGTAGAATCATTTGTATGCCTGGGTTTTTGTTTTTGCAATCTCACGTGGCGTTGCTGTTGCTGCTGCTGGTTTTTTTATTTATATTTTATTCCATGGCCCATAATATGGCCAAAGACATTGTCATTGTCTGCTCAAGCAATTAACCAAAAAATTTTGCTTAAGGGGGGCTCTTTTCATACGTTATGTTGTATTTCAGCTACGCTGTGGTCTCCAGCAACAACAGCAGCAACAACATCATGGAGAATATCAATGTAGTACTACAATTTAGCCTTAGGTGCCACAAAATTTTGGCATAATTACTTTTATGTGAATGGCAACATAAATGAAACGATACAACAACAACAAAAACTACCGGGAATAAATGATGGAGGAGACAACCAAAAACAACAAAAAACAAAAATTAATTGAAAATTAGCTTTGGAAATAATTTTCCATGATTTGATGATGTTTATGAATTTGCAGAGAGAAAGCAATTAAATATTGATTTGAAAGAAAGGGTTTTACAAAAATGCTATAAAATATAGCTTTTTTCAATTTATGGGAATCTCATGGAATTTGAGGGGCTGGGGACAAGAGATGGTCTAAATGTTAAATTATTTTTAATTTAAAGGCAATAATTCTCATTTACTTTAATTTCAAGCAATAGAATGAGAAAATATTATTTCAGGAATGAGAAAATTAGCCTCAATGTGAAGGAAATAATTCTCATTTAGTTAAATTCAGACCTCCGAAAAACTCGCTCGAATTTATACAAAAAGTGAAACTCACTCGAATTCCAGGGGAAGGAAAAAATCGTGCAAACTCAATTTTGTGATGTCGCTCGAAGATGAATGAGCTTTTTTCGTTGTTTTTTTTTTTTAATGGAAGCAGAGTTCGTTCAAAATCGAACTGATGATACTCTTGCTGAGCGCTCTTTTAATTTTGATATACTGTCGTTGTATTTTCTTTCTCACACAAAACCAATTGAGTAAAGAGTAGACCCCTTAAAAAACTCCCACTCGCGAGCAAGTTTCTCTCCCGCCTGAAAGTGAGCAAATTTGTGCTACGGTTAAATTCTAAGCAAGAAATTAAAAAGACTCATATAAATAATTAAAATTGTCGTCCTTATTTTAAACTAAGGAATATAACTTTCATTTTTTATAATTTCGGGTAAAATTTTCGAATCGCAAAAATTATCAAAAATAATGAGTTTCACTGTAAAATTATGTTAGATAAAGGAAAATAATTCTCATTTAGGTTAATTTTAAGTATAAAATAAGACAAAGTAAAGATAAAAAATGGAATCTTAAGGAAAATATTTTGAAATAAAGGAAATAATTCTCATTGGGTTTAGATTCAAATCAAAATTTTATTTTATCCCAAAATAAAAAAATATCCCAAAAAATATAAATATTATTATTGTCATTACTGTTTTAATTATTTTATCTTTATTCTCATATTTCTCAAATTTCATATATTTGACTAATTTCAAACCCAATTTTCTCTATCTTTCCAGATGGTAAGTTCTTATCATCACTAAATCCTACAGAACTAACATATGATGGTAAGTCACATTTCATCGCCTCATTATTAACACTTTATGTTGTATTCTCAAATTAGTTTTAACTTGCATGGCTTTCAAATATAAAAAGATAAACGCAAGCAAAGTTACGGTTTCCAATAATGGGCAAAAAAAGCCCCAACTCAAGAAATAAACAAACATTGAAATCTATAAATCATATTGAAGCAGAAGAAAAAAATATGAAAACCAAATCCAACATCAATACATTTATCCATGAAGAAGATCTTTTGTCAGCCAAACAAATCAAAGTAACTGAAAGATGGGTGAAAACAGCACAGTAGCATTTTCTGGCAACACATAAATTAATTAAAAGCTTTTAAAGCCAAAGAACATTAATCAATATTAAAACCAAGCAAAAAAGAAAAATAAACAACAAAAAATTACGACACAAAAAAATCAAGCCATCATGGGGCGGCGGCAGGGTAGACAGGCAAGAGATGCTTGGCTTGGATATGCTAGTTAAAGGGTATCAAGTTTTTAGGAGAAGAAGTTATGACAACAGAAAAAAATGCACCCATCATTGACAGATCTTTTAGGAATTGTAGCATGAGCAGGGCAGAAATTCCAAAACATATTTCTCATATCTAAAGCTTTTAAGGTAACGACAAAGCAAACCAGCTGATAAAAATTCATTAAAAACTTTTAAATTTTAATTAAAAATTATATTGCCTTGCCAGCCATGCTAAAAACAAACGCTACAGGTGTAGACTGATGGACAGCTCCCGCACGTCCAATGATCGATCACGTTTCTGCCAACCAGAAAAAAGGGGGGTTTGCAATAAAACAACGCCCTATTTTCTGTCTGTCCGCCTGTCTCCAAGCCTAAACTTGCTCATCGCAAGGGGGCAAAAATAACTTATTATAAAAATATTAAATGATCACCTATAATGAGTTTTCAGTTTCATCATCCACATCATCGGCATCTACGTCATATTAAGGGCCAGTAGCCTCGGACATGGACGCACTTTTCATGTCATGTGAGCCCAGTCAGTCTGCCCGATATCATGTCCCTAAAATCATTGATCAGTCGATCGATCGGCAATAGTTTAAAGGAACAAGTAGAAGTTCATTCATTCAGCCTTCTTTGGCTTACTACTGAATGGATGCTTGTCGCGCTTCTGCTTTTAAGAGAGCTACCGTTTCCGTCCGCCAATGTTAAAGTATGAAACGTGACGGTATACACCTCCGTTTTTTCCTCCATGTTCTAACATCAGAAATTAAATGTATCAATTTTTTTTCTTAATGAATTTATAGGGCATGTGGCTTGAAGCGGAGTGAGTTCAGAGGAGAGACAGCTATTTAACGGTCTTTGGCCCATTCATGTGTCAGCACATGATGGCCAGAAAAGAAACGGTCAATATCAACGTCATGTTGTTAGTCTATCGATCAACGATCGAATATGAGATGACTAACAAACTAATAAGTGTCTTCATCATCCTCCTCCTATCTACCGTTTTGAGATATTGGCAGATTGGCAAAGATAAAATCTGCACTATTTTTGAAGAAGAATATATTTGGAAATATCAAAAAATAATAATTTTTAAAAATTTAAAAATAAGGACAGAGGAAAGGAGAAAAAATTTGAAAGGAGAGTATTTTTTGTGGATTTTAAAAAGAGAATTTCTAGATCAAGGATCGTAATTCTCTGCACTCACAATCAGACCCACTGATAAAAAATATATTCAAAGAGTAACCAAATTACGAGAAAATAAAATTGCGATATCTGCCCGGCTCAGGCCTAGATTTAAATCCAAAAAATATATATATTTATTTTTTTAAATACAAATTCCCCTTCTAGCTTATTACATTCTATCTTAATTTTTCTCTCAATTATTTCAATTGAAAAAGTTTCTCCTCTCTGTAAACAAAGCTGCAGCAACTTGTAAGTTTTTCTCTCACTTCTTCTCAGCACAAAAGCCCTGAGTATGATTTCCCAGGGCTTTCCTAAGGCTTTTGGAAATTTAATAATCTTCCTGGTCCCATTTCTCCCCACATAATTTTTTTCTCATGGAGTAACATAAATTCCATCACCTTTCTCACAGCCTTATTTCCACTAAAATACTAACGAGGACTTTCTCTGAGAAAAAAAAAATAATTTCACTAAAGGATCTCCTTCTCTCTTTAATTTTAACATAAAAGCTTTTGAAAGCTCAAAAGGCATTTTGTATATGCAATGATCTTCCAGCTCCCATTTCTCCCCATATCACTTTTTCTCATTGAAGAAATTTGTTAACCTCTCCTCTGGCCCCCTCTCTTCCCTTTCATGGAAATAAAAAACAATAACTTCTGCACTTAATTTTGAAAGCCATTACTCTTAAAATTAGTTCTGCCTATAAAAAAAGGCCATGTTATCTATGGAATACTAAATGAAATGTTAAATACGCGCGGAGGCTTTCTTTATGAAGTTTGCCCGAACCACACACACGCACATGCTTTTTTATTACTGCGCCTCATAAATGGTGTTTTATGGCGCAGTTTCTACACTTTATGATCGAGAAAAAAACGCAAAAAACTATGCAAAAATTAAAAAAAAAATATTATTACCAAAACTATAAAATAGAGGGCACCACCTAGTTTTATGATTGCCGTCAGACGACACTAAGAATTTTTGCACTTCATTTTTCATAATTACCAAAAGGAAAGACCTTACAATGTAGACGGATTTCCTTTAAATTTTAAACTGAGATATTAACTCTTTCTCTCTCTCTCTCTCGCTGAATGCTTGAATTCCTTGGCCGCCTAGACGTAAACCACCAATCGCCAAAGCCATTAATTTTCCAAAACCCAACTCTTTTGGTTTTCACTTTCCCGAAACAAAAGTGCAAGTGGTTTTACTAGGATCCACCAAAAACAAAATACAATCAAAACAACAACAACAACACCGACATAATAAATGGTGTTAACATTTATTTGTTTTTGACATTTTTTTTGTCGTTTATCACATGCGGCCAAAAAGCGTTGAAACCCATTGTTGCCGGTGACACTGAAACGCTGATGACTGATGGTCTGCTGCTGGTATTTTAAAGTATTTTTGACCTCTAAAAAGTGAAGTTTTCGAGAAAAAAACCTAAAGTAACTGTCATGTCAGTCAGCCAATCCACTACCACTACTATTTTCGCTACTAATAACTTGAACATTAAAAACATGAAACAAATTTGTTCTTCAGCGCAATGGCGGAGCGTCTGTCTAACACACTAAAGTGACACACAATCAATATGGTCCTACAAACTTAGTTTTCGAATTCATTCAGTCGTTTGCTCACTCAGCCAGCCAGTCAGTCACTTGTTCGCTCACTCAATTGAATGTGAAACGGAACGGGGCGCTCATGAAAACACACAAAAAAACCTCCAGAACTTTAGTGCGCGAAACAAACACAAGTTTTAAATAATTGTCTGTCAGAACTGTCAAACAAGTCGGCAAATAATAAAATTAATGGCCAACGAAAAGGCAATGCCAGCAACAACAAAAGCGACAACAACAACGGCAATGCTATTGCAAAATCACCAACAACAAACCAATATTTTGTAATACTTTTTTCCTCCAAAGTTAGTTACTCTCCTAAGTTTTGTTTTGTAGCTACTCCACAAAAAGCCTAGTTTTTGTTGTTTTTATTTTTGTTGTTGTATGTGGCAAGTCCTAATTGGCCGAGTTTTAATGCTGCTTATGGTCTGGAAGACGACAATGCAACGCTGTTGTCTTGAGGTCTTAGTTAAATACTTTTAAAAGCTCTTTGGAATTCAATGACCTTCATTTTAAGGATATTTCTGTTTTGGAGGAAAGGGGGAGTTTCATAGGGATATCCTGGAATATTAAAAAAAATACATACTATTTTCAAATTATCTTTTATATGGAATTTGCTCCGAATTATAGAAGAAAATTCTCGCTTGACTTTTCTATATCCCAAGGTCCGAACAAAAAAAAAATAAAATAAAAAATTGAAAATTGTTCAGAATAAGTAGAGATTTATATAAATTCTTATATTTGGAGGGTTCTAATATTTTGAGGTTATCCCAATGTCCTCAAAAAAAAAAAAAAATAAATAAATAAATAAATAAATAAATAAAATTTTCCACTTTAGATGAAAATTATTCAGAATCAAGAGAAAATTATTTCAATTCTAATATTTGGAGGGAAAATTCTCCCCAAATTTAACTTTTTTGTTTTTGTTGTAAACACAGCAACAACCTAAGAAAAAAAATAAATTTTCCACTTTCGGTGAAAATTGGTCAGAATCACGAGAAAATTATTCAAATTCTAATATTTGGAGGGGTTTAAAGACTACAGAGGCGGCTTGGTGGGCTTTGCCGCTATTCAAAAATCGGAAAACTACAAATTTTCTCCCAATTTTCTCTTTTTGTTTTTGTTGCAAAGCCACAACAACAACTAACAAATGGCAATGACATCCAAAAACAGCAATAACAACAATCTACCAAAAGACAATGACGCCGCCGTTAGTGGCAAACACAAGCCGGCATATAAAAGTGATATATTATTGCGAGGGAGCTTTGAACTCTTCCTCTCATTTGTAATGCCAATATACACACGCAAACTAGAGAGGATACGTATAGAACACAATCACAGCAGACGGAAAAATTATCTTTGCAAAAGAGAGAATGAGAGAGGTAGCTAGGATTCCAGCCAAGCAGACATGAAGGGGGTTTTGCAGTTCATGTATTTTCGGTTTTTTTTGGTAAGGCAAGATGAAAAATTATGGCTTTTAATTTGTTATAAATTTTACCAAAATAAAACAAAAGAACACAGGGATTTTTCTCAAGGTCATTCGCGGTGTTTCCTTCCTCCCACATGAAAAAAAGAGGAGTCAAAACAATTCTGCCATTGAGCATAAAAATACGCTAATAAATTTTCTTTTGCATTTTCCAACACACACACATGTTGCATGAAATGGGTTTGTATTTTTTTTTGGAAGAAAATGCGTAAACCCTTAACAATAACAACAACAAATGACAGAGAGAGAGTTGCAA